TTGACCAAAAACTAAAGCTCAAGCACATTCCTCATAGCAAAGCATCCTAGTCCCGAATTAGAGACCTATTTCCTATGATCTTAGAGTCGATTCTGACTAGCATGTTGGTTGGTGTCTCTAATTCAACATAGGAAATCACAATACGGAATTAGGGCTGGAAAGGGACAATGGAGAGAGGAACAATCAGAATGTGAGGGAGGAGACGGGTAAGTACAAACCATGAAGATAAAAGGCCCGGCAATGAGATCCTTGAAAGTACAAAGGCACTGTCACTCCTCAGCAATCAGCCAAGCCGGCATGGCCCTATACAGCCATATACCCTGCCATGAGGAGAGCCTAAGTCACTAAGGGAAGATCACACTAGATTCAGTTATTTTACAAAGGCAAATAAGTGTACCATAGGTGACTTCTTAAAGAACTCTGTCAAAAACAGTTGTTTTATATTTTACACATAAACGGATTGTTCAATTCTTTAGAAAATTCACTTGCGGGAAAGCAGGCTAGGTAAGGTTTTACCGTGAGTAGTCTGATGACAGTGAACGCTCTCTCTGACCTTTACTCATAGAATTGTCACTGACCTAATTCACAGTAGGAGGAAATACACTGCTTTTTTTTCCCCCAATAGATCTGCCGTGATCTGATTCACACCGCTTGTCCAGGCCCCAGTGACCAACGGCCTAAGCATGCAGCCAGCACTCCTGACCACGACAGTCCCAAAGTAAGCTGGAAATCTGTCCGGCACTTCCTTCCCAACCAGGCTTAGTACGAAAACACAGCAAAACTAGGAATTGCTGTAGACTGGGCTTGGGATGGGTGTGACCCCTGAAGTCAGAGCAAGTCCCTTCGGACAAGGCAAAACCTTTACTATCACTTCAGATTAATGGAAGTTCTATTTTCAAATCATTTTTCTTGGTTCAGTTCTGAAGATGTTTGGAGGATGACACATAGATAAAATCAATAAATTCTAATTTTTGGTTTCAACACCTATTTTTCCATCATAGATTTCAATACTTTAATGTCTTTTTATAACACAATTTCGGTTTAAAATTCTCAGAATTACTTTGTCAGTGATAATTCCTAATTATTTTGGAACCAAATCATTTTTATTTAATTTCACACCCACCAACTAAATATTTTCCAAAGCACACATTTCCCTTCACTTCATTCCTGCACTCAACAAATATTTACTGAGCATTTACTCTGCAAGGAACTGGGGTGGAACGCAGGGTTTCCACAGAGAACACAATGCAATCCATGTCTACTGAGCATGCTAGATTCAGGGAACGAAACGGAATCCAATGTCATCTTTCTCAGTGCCCCTTTGAGACAGTGCTAGACACTCTAGGGACGTCAAAAAAAACAAGGGCTGGATTTATGTTTCACGTGACAACTAAGTATTAAATATAAACATGTTACACATTTGAAGTACAAACTCTCGAATTTATCCAGTACCTTTACCTACATATCAAATTATCAGATGCCCAAAAGTTGAAAACCTACTTGTATTCTCTAACGCTTTTCCTCCCTATGACCACATAAAATACCACAGTAAAATTTTAAGAGTTTAACTTTCTCATCTTTTAGGGAAAAAGGAAAAACACATACATTTTAGTAGTGAGATTATTTCAAGATCCTTTTTTTCTTCAGTACATCAATTATGAAGAAAATATTGCAACCTAGGACAATCTAGTCAAGCTGAAGCTAATCAATTCTGATGTTCAAAAGATTCTAAGGCATTTCCTCTCCTCTATCAAATGTGGATTTCTGAGAAACGGCTTTGTACCTACTGAAAATTTTGCCATATCAAGCATACAACTGTAAGTTTAGAAAAACGTAAAGTATCACATATATATATATATCCTTGAGCCACTTACCAACAGTTTACTACTCAGTCCAGCCAAATATACTAAAATAAGTATGTTTTATCCTATCTTAGAGAAAAAATATTGAGGAAAACAAAAAGCTCAAGGAATTAGGTTTTTGCCAAAATATTGAAGTACTAACTATACCACTTCACTTTTTTAGTTTTTTTTCCTGTGGAAGATTAGCCCTGAGCTAACATCTGTTGACAATCTCACTGTTTTGTTTTGTTGGGGTTGTTTTTTCTTGAGGAAGATTAGCTCTGAGCGAATGTGTGCGCCAATCTTCCCCTATTTTATATGTGGGTTGCCTTCATAGCATGGCTGACAAGTGGTGTAGGTCCGTACCCTGGACCAGAACCCATGAACCAGGGCTGCTGAAGCAGACTGCACTGAACTTAACCGCTAGGCCATGGGGCCAGCCTGCCACTTTAGTTTTTAAATGAAACAGTAATCAAAAACAAATCATACTAATAGTTATTTGTATCAGAGTTTTCATCTACATACCACTTTCATAAAATTTTCCAGTTAATAGTATGATTTTCATTCTAATCTACCTGAAAACACCACAGCTGGGTTGACTTATAGATTCTATCCTCCTGCATCCTATTTTATGGGGGAGGGAGTAAACTCTAAAGAAACTTTAGCTCACGGCATCAACTGTTTCCTTCATAAGTTTTGAGCCTCTTAGCAGCTCTAGAAGAGTAACTGAAGGAGTGAACTGCTTAATAAATCTGTTTGCCAAAAGTAAATAGGAGTTAACCAACCGCATTTCCAACTCTTCAACTGCTCAAGTCATCCACGACTGCTCCAGCTAACACACAAGACTGGAATGGCAGCGGAGAATAAACACTGAGCATAAGGGAGTGACCCACACCACGCTTCTTCAAAGAAACTAAGCCACAGAAACAGGATGGGAAAGACATAAACCTCCTACGAAGAGAAGCAAACAGCCATGCTACCATGTAACCCAATCTTAGCATCCATCTCATTTTATTTAAACACATCACTCTTGAGCTCAATCAAGGACTTGGGATCCTAATTTGAAAACCAAACAGAACACAGAGGAATCTGGTTTTTTAAAACAGTAATGGGCTTATACAAGGCTTGTTAGGAATTTATGCCTAATTAGTCTACTCATTTCTTGTGTAAATTGGAAGGATCTCCAAATTTCATATAGCTCTAAATAAAGTGGAGAAAAGGGAAAGAACCATATTTAGCTAGGTAATTCAAATAAAAGAATTTTTCTTCCCAAGTTACATAATTAGTGAAGCCACGAAGCAAACCTTATCTTATCTAAAAGACCAGAGACGCATGATTAGTTAACATTTAAACCTTTGACAAATTGTCTTTCCTTGATAACCAATGGCATCCTTCCAAAAAGGCAGTTAACAATGAACTCAAGCTCAGTTGTGTCTATAACCATGACATCTAAATAATCAACTGAAAGTAAAAAGCCCAAACTCTGCGATAAACATACCCAGCATTACGTATACAGGTGCACTTCTCAACCAAATCTGATAACACGTTAAAATTAATAAATTCCCAAGAAGTCAGACTGGATAAAAATTAGGGCATTGCTTTGGTTACTCTTTAAAACATTAAAATCTGTTCTGAGAGTAAGTGGAACACAAAACTATGACATTTAATTAAACATTGTACTGGTTAACAGAATACTTGCACTTCCCTGTTTATGAGCCAATGGGTACGTCTGTAATTTTAGATAGGAATTATAGTTAGAAATAAAGGGAGCAATTTCCTGAGTTACTCCACTTTTAAATTATATTTCATTGAGACTTATCCTTTGAAATTACTAATTATCCTACCCTGTTCATGTGAGAACTTAAGAAACCTCTCAGAATTCTGTGATATCTTCACACATAAAAAGTTGCATACATGTAAGAAACATTTCTACAGACATCACCTCATATCTTAAAAACCACTTTAGCCGAAAAGACGTTGTAAAAGTAAAATTATGCATTTTATTCATTCATTCCATCAGCTGAGAATTGCTCTATTGTACAAATACAATATTGTACAAAAAAATCACAAAATGTTACAAAATAAAAAAGTACAAACTGCATTACTTAATAAATATGACTAAAAGTAGCTAAAGTGGAAATGAGATAGATTTGAGGTTGGGAACATTGTTTGACCCAGCAAACCATACAAGCTGTTTACAGACATTTTTATTTGTACATAATACAGGGCAATCCTATTTTGCCTTCTGCCAAGAATTTAAAAGGAACAGAATATTAAGACAGTATTCTCCTGCTATAAAATAAGTGCCAAAGTTGGTTTGAGGCATTTATGCTATTAATTTTTAAATCTCTTAGTTGAATCCAAGATGCTATATAAAGCAGGAGGCTCATCTTGTCACAAAGTCTTAGACCATATTAAAATTCTTTTATATAACAAAATGACAAATATAAATAAAAACAACTGAGAGCACCAGACGATCTACTCTAAACATCAACCAGAGTACAGAATAATCACTCTGCCATCAGCAAATATCAGACTTTCATTCAAGTAAGACCTGGTACTATCCCTTAACGAAAAAAACTTCTTCCCACAACCTTCCCTTCAGTACTTCTCTTTAAAAGGTTCACCATTTCTAGAAAAATAATGATTTCCAGAACAACAAATGTTTGTTTCATCAAAATGGAATGGGCCAATCATCTGGTAACATGAATGCATCAATATCCATTTGAAATAATTACCGAAGAGCTGTAAAATTCAAATTCAACAACATAAAATAACTACTAAATTCACAAACTCTGTTCAAAATAATAAACTTCATATAAAGCACTTCTCTGGATTTATGCCGGAAAGCTGTTTGTCAAAATGGAACACATCATAGATGAAGGTACACCCATTTTTAAAAATGTTGTGCAAAAATACATTTTTATAGAAAATAGATTACCAGGAATGAACAAATTTACACTGTGAGAAATTAGCTTGCAACTTAAGTAGTGCCATCTTTATACAGCAAATTATAAATAGCAGGAAGATCACCCAAAGCTATCATGAAACATCATTTAGGTGCCCAGCAACCTTCAGCTCTGAGGAGAAAACATTCAAAAAAATGATTAAGGCATTACACCTACAGTAAATCTACTAGAAGTTTAAAAGTGCTATTACCCTGATTCGAGTTCATATAATTCTCCAAACACAAATGACGTATACGATTCTCCCAGGGTGTAGGTGTCCAGACACTTCAAGAGCATGCATTTTGTTCGATATACATCTTGGACAGGGATATGGCCATGGACTTGGCAAGCTCTTCGTCGCGTTTTCTCTGCACCTGAGTCTGTTTGCACCAATTGTCGTACTCGGGATTGGGATAGCAGTGATCAAACACCGCGTCGTAATGTCCGTTACTGAGCCAACTCAGCCAGATACTGGGCCTCAGCGAATCCTCGGGGCCCAAATAGTGGATCATGGTGGACACCGTGGGGCTCTCCAACCTCCCTCCAGTAGTTAAGTGGATATTGACATTCAGCATCTGCCCCATGGCCAGCAACTCCGGGTAGCCGGCCCAGGCGCCGTCCTGGGCGGCTGCGATGATGAACTCGCCCACGTCGCCCTCGATCAGGGGGCTGAAGTGGTCTAGGTGGTCGGCGATGTAGTGCACCGTCTGCTCCCGCAGCTCGCGGTGCAGGCTCTGGTCCCCGTACACCGTCTTGCTGACGGCTCGGTAGAGGCAGTTGCCGTCGGGGATGATGTGGAAGCGGTACTTATTCCGCTGCCGCAGGTACTTGTCCTGCTTCTCCACCTCGGCCAGGTACAGGGCCAGCTTCTCGTCTCTGGGGTCCGCCCTGGAGACCACCCCCGCCTCGGCCGCGCCGCCCGGGGCGGCGTCGCCGCTGCGGCCCGGGGGCGCCTCGGGCTCGGGCTCGGGCCGCCGGGCCTCGTGGGCGCCGGGCGGGTCGCCGCGCTCGCCGGCCCTCTCCCAGGCGCGGCAGCTGCGCTCGGCCGGGTGCTCCTCGGCCCACGGCCCGGGGCCGGGCTCCGGGCTGCCCGGGGGCGGCGCGGGGCCCCGGGGCTTGGCGGCGGCCAGGGCCTGGCGGTGCTCGCTCAGTCGGAAGTTTCGCTCGGAGGCCTCCCGGGCGGCGTCGGCGCCCGCGGGCTCGGGGCCGTCGGGCCGCAGCAGCTCCTCCAGGAGCCAGGCCGAGGCGGCGCGGCGCGGCGGGGCCGGGGCGCCGGGCGCGGGCGCCAGCAGCAGGCAGCGGCCGCGGGGCGCGGCGGGCGCGGCGGGCGCGGCGGGCGCGGCGGCGGGCTCGGGCCCGGGCAGCAGCAGCCGCTCGGCGCCCAGGGCGCGCACGGTGATCTGCGCCGTGGACGTGTAGTGCGGCGGCAGCGGCGGCTTGCAGGACCCGCCGGGCGGCCCGGCGGCGGCGGCGGCGGCTGGGGCGGTGGCCCCGGCCACCATCTCGAAGCAGGACGAGAAGGCGGGCATCTTGGCGGCGGGCGCGGCGGCGGCTTCCCGCGGCTCGGCGGCCGCGGCGGGCTGGCACTCACCGGACTCGGGCTCGGGCGCGCCGCTGGCGGGGCCCGGCGGCTGCAGCGAGACCTTGAACGGGGCGGCGGCGGCGGCGGGCGGCGCGGGGGCGGCGGCCGTGGGCCCCGGGGCCCCGGCGGGGTAGTGGGTGCAGACGCTGCTGTAGAGCTGCATGGCCCTGCCCGCCGCTCGGCCCCTTATAGGCGCGGCGAGCCCTGCGGCGGGGACACACCCTCCGGGCCCGGGGGAGGGGGCCGGCCGAGCGCGGTGACCCCGGGGCCCGAGAATAGAAATGAGCGGAGGGCCGCCGGCGCGTCAGGAGCCGCAAATAGCGCCCGGGTCCCCGCCAAATTCCTGCTGCGCCACAGCGCGCGGGGGCGGGGAGGGCCACGCGCTCGGCCCGCAGAGCCGGGGCGCCGCGCCCGCTGCCGCTGCTCCAGCCGGCGCCGGCCGCTGGGGACTCGCGGAGGAAGCCGGCCGCCCCGGTGGAGCGCGTCCCGCCGGCGAGGAGCGGAGCGGGGCGCGCGGACGGGCCGGGAGGCGGGGCCGCGGTTGTTTACCTCAGGCCGCGCGGCCGCGTCACGTGGGCCCGCTGGAATGTGCGGCTCGTCGCGGCGCCCCATTCAACTACGCGCCTCGCCCCGCCCCCAGGCCCAAGCCCCGCCCCGGCGGGCGGACGTCATGGGCGGGGCCCGCGGCGCCGGCGGCGGGCGGGGCCCCGGCAGGAGAGCGCGGAGGCCCGGGGTCATGCGCAGTGAAGGGGGCCTGGCCGCCTCGCCTGCTCTGCTGCAGGTCTGAGCGGCGCGCCACTGAGCGCGCGGCTGCGGGTGGGGTGGGCGCTGCCTGGGGCCAGCTAGAATGCCTTGAAAGCGCGCGTTGGGAAAGAAGCTTCCAGGCTGGGTCTGGAGGACGGAGCGCTGCCTTGAAACCTGCATGGCCTCTGCAGGGTCATTCCGGCTTCTGTTCACCGCTGCCGTCTTTTTGATGCAGTTCCGTGTCCAAATGTTAGGGTCGCCTGACCTCCCCAGCACCTTGCTGCCCTACTGTTAAACCGAAACCCACTTTTCTGCACCCCTAACCCATGTCGACTAGCAAACGCATGATTTGGGCCAAAGGAAATTTTTCAAACAGCCTTTCGGAATACCAAATACCATCCCGCCTGCAGCCTTTGAAAATGGGTGCGGCTGTTGCCCCTAGGTCAGGGCGGAGCGGAGGGGCGGGGTGCGTTCTGGGGCGGGGTAGAACACTGACAGCAGTTCCAGGGAGTGTTAGTAGTACCCGCTTTGTAGAGGAAATAGGGGGTATTCATATGCCCACAGTGGTGTCCAGGTTTTGCTGTACTCTAAGCTTTGATCATATACTAAGTTAAGAGGCCTTAACAATTCAAATTGAACCTAGAGCCTACCCCACTGTTTTAGACTGGGGGGGCGGGGGTTCGGATAGCCGCAGGTTGTGGCATACGCCTCCCTCCACCCTTCCGCTGGAATGTAGACTCCGTGAATGTAGATTCCCATCGTTGGCTGTTATCGTTAGATCCCTCGCATATAGTTGGAGCGAATTAATATTTACCGAATGAATTAATCAATGGAAAAAGAGTTCCCAAGGTTTCACAGACACTGAGCGGAGAAGCCCGAATTATGATCCCGGTCTCCTGACCCTAGCCAGGGCTTTTAATTTGCCATGGCGGTTCTGACTGCGGGATCCCAGCAGCAGCCTTTTGCATGGGTCGCTCCAGTTAGGTAAATCAACTCAGGTGGTAAGACGACCATGTTTATGCCTAACCATCTTTTCAGCTTTCCGTCACGCCCTATTGGGAGCTTGTAGCAGCCACTGGCGCACTGGAAAAGGGAAATTACTTAGATTTCATCACTGATATGGGGGTATCTGTTGTTCTGTGTATTAAACACTTCACCCTGAACTCTGCCTGTAGTCTTTCAGTAGCTGGTGTTCTGGAACGGAAGACAAGACAATTAACAATAAATTAATCCTCGGATAATATCGAGTGAGTACCCACTGTGTGCCTAGCAGAGCTAGCGTACCGGGAGCCTGGAGGGAGACGAGGAGACTATTAGAACTTAAATCTTAAACAAGAATGCGTTTTAACAGGCTGAGGTAAACACGGGGGAAAATTAACTCGAGGTACACAGAGGACAGGCCAGGCCTGATGTACCAAATTAGGAACAAATATAAACAAAAATGTGAAGATTCAAAACTTTAACAGACATGACAGCTCTTTTTTTTCTTTTAGTTTGTGTGGGAGTGGTGGACTATCCAAGACTGAATATCCACTGAGAATCAGGGTCCACTCTATCTCAGTCTGGGGAGTCTTGGAGGAAATGGTACTTCAGGAAACTCAAAGCAGGCACCATTGCCAGCCTTGGAAAAGGGAATTATTCTCTGCCCTTGGGGTCTGAGAGAAGGCAAGGCCGCCTTGCACGTGAGAGTAAAGAGAACAGAGTGGGAAAGAGAGGCAAATCCAATTCCTTGATACTCCATCTGAAAAGAATTCCTAATGGTTCTTTTCTCGAATATCATCTGCCCAGCATATTTTGATGCTGTGCAGAAAATCGGCAGAAGCTTAGGGAAATAGTATTCTAAACCAAAATTGCGTAGTTATTGAATAGGCTAGAAAAACAAGAAATTTCAGCAACTATCAACCAAAAGGTAGCAAAAAGACAATCAATAGGTTAAAACAAAGCAAAAGAACAAGGCATTTAATCAATAAGTACTTGTTGAGCACCCCGTATGCTCCCAGCATGGTGCCAATTACAGAGAATTCAGAAATCCATTCTGTCCTGCAACCCAGGCAGCAGAAACCAGGCCACCAAAGCCATGTTTGTAAAATAGGACCAATCCTGGCATGTTTTTTGAAGGTACACACATCTGAATACCACCATCTCTTAGCTAGATTCCTTTAAGGGTAATAAAATTCCCAACCTCTTCCCCTCCCCCAAAATGAAACTTTTAAAACTGTGTTCATTTATTCACTAATTAAATAATCATTTCTTTATAAACCTAATAAGACAAACAATCTTGAAAAAGAACCAAGTTGGAGGACTCGTGCTTCCCAATTTCAAAACTTAGTACAAAGCTACAGTCATCAAGGCCATGTGGTGCTGGCACAAAGATAAACATGCAGATCAGTGGAATAGAACTGAGACTCCAGAAACAAGTCCATATGTTTATGGTCAAGTGACTCTTACAGGGTGCCAAGACAGTTCGCTGGGAGAAAGAAGAGTCTTTTCAATGATGGTCCTGGGACAACTGGACATCTGTATGCAAAAGAATGAAACTGGACTTCTACCGCACAACATGTACGAAAATTAACTCAAAGTGGATCAAATATAAGAGCTAAAACTTTCAAGTTCTTAGAAGAAATTAGAGGTGTAAACTTCAGTGTCCATGGATTAGGCCATGGTTTCTTAGATGTGACACCAAAAACAGAAAAGAAAAAATAGATAAGTTGGACTTCATCAAAACTGAAAACTTCGCACTTCAAAGGAAAGTGAAAAAAAAAAAAAAAAGAAAAAAGTGAAAAGAAAATGAAAAGACAAATTGAAGAATGAGGGACTATATTTACAAATCATATATCTGATAAGGGACTTGTACCCAGAATATATGAAGAGGTCTTATAATTCAACAGTAAGAACACAACCCAATTTTTCAAATGGACAAGTCATTTGAATACACATTTATCCAAAGAAGATATACAAACAGCCAATAAGCACATGAAAAAATACTCAACCTCATTAGTCATTAGGAAAATGCAAATCAAAACCCACAGTGAGATACATTTCATACCCACTAAGATGGCTGTACTGTAATAAGAAAGACAATAGCAAGTGCTGGCAAAAATATGGATAAATTAGAATATTATGTATTGATTGTGGAATTTTAATGGTGCAGACACTTTGTAAAAGTAATTTGGTGGTTCCTCAAAAGGCTGCCTGTAGAGTTACCATATGATCCAGCGATTCCACTCTTAGATAAATAACCAAGAGAAATGAAAACATATGTCTACATAAAAACTTGTACATCAATGTTCATAGTAGCATTATTCATAATAGCCAAAAAGTGGAAACAACTCAGTTATCCATCAAATGATGAATAGATAAACAAAATGTGACATAGCCATACAATGAAATATTATTCAGCCGTAAAAAGAATAAATTACTGATACATGGTACAACATGGATAAACCTTGAAAACATTATTCTAATGAAAGAAATGAGAGACAAAAGGCTGCATATTGTAGAATTCTATTTATATGAAATGTCCTGAATAGGCAAGCCCATCGAGATATAAAATTGACTGATGGTTGCCAGTGGCTAGGGAAAAGGGGAAATGGGAAGTGACTATCAATGGGAAGGGATTTCTTTTTGAAGAGATGAAAATGTTCAAAATGAGATTATGCTGATGGTTGCCAACTCTGTGATTATAGTAAAAACCACCGAATTGAACATTTTAAAAGGGTTAATATTATGGTATGTGAATTACTCCTAAATAAAGTGGCTAAAAAAAACCCCTACTATGAGCCAGTCACTGTGCTAAGCACTCAAGATAAAAAGATGATTATGTATCATCTATAAATTTCTCAGCAGCAGCAATACTTACTTTGTGACATTATTGCATAGATCATGGACATTTTATATATCCTAATGATTTTTCTGACAAATTCATGGTACTCTATATGGTAGCTTAAATGTAACTGTTAAAATGATATAAATAAGTTGAAGCTTACTGAAAACAAATTATTTATGCCCAGGAAAAAAGGGATAGTTGAAGAGCTGGGCTAGGGAAATGCTATTTGAATTTATAATTTTGTTTTTTCTTAAAATTTCTGTGTAATCATCATGATATAAAAAATAATTTTGCCTTCTGTTCAACAAACATTTATTGAGCTCTAATGTACACAAAGCATATGGGAATATGTTGCAGCTTAACCATATGTAGAACCAACCAAACTTAAAATATTGTGGAAAAAGATTCTGAAAAGTGGTTGAGATGTAGCAGGCTCTTAATAAATATTTTCTCAATGTTGTCAAGTAAAAATGGAACATAATCCATAAAGGCAAGCATCTTGGGAAGTATTGTGTGGGTTGATATATACTCATTCTATTAAATTGGCAATTTAAAGTGAACGGATAAATAAATAAAGGCACTATGTCATGCAAACACTTCAATATTCTTTCTCTAGCACATTTACCACTGCTGACATGTCACTGGCTGGAAGTGAAATTGCCAGGCAGAAGTGCAAGCTCCACTTAAGTATTTATTTAATTAGTTATTTATTAATTAATTATGGCTCTTCTGAAATTGTATTTATTAGTATCACTGAAAATCCTATCATCTAAAGGTCTCGTAACTCCAGGAAATCTAAAT